AGTTTGAGAAACAGACGCCTCACAGGTCCTCAACTGGCAGCTTCATTAAATAGTACTCGCAAAACACCAGTCTCAACGTCAACAGTGAAGAGGCGACTCCGGGATGCTGACCTTCTAGGCAGAGTTGCAAAGAAAAAGCCATATCTCAGACTGGGCAATAAAGATAAAATATTAAGATGGGCAAAAGAACACAGACACTGGACAGAGGAAGATTGGAAAAAAGTGTTATGGACAGACGAAACAAAGTTTGAAGTCTTCGATCACAAAGAAGAACCTTTGTGAGACGCAGACCAAATGAAAAGATGCTGGAGGAGTGCTTGATGCCATCTGTCAAGCATGGTGGAGGCAATGTGATGGTCTGGGGGTGCTTTGGTGGTGGTAAAGTGGGAGATTTGTACAGGGTAAAAGGGATCTTGAAGAAGGAAGGCTATCACTCCATTTTGCAACGCCATGCCATACCCTGTGGACGGCGCTTGATTGGAGCCAATTTCCTCCTACAACAGGACAATGACCCAAAGCACAGCTCTAAACTATGCAATAACTATTTAGGGAAGAAGCAGTCAGCTGGTATTCTGTCTATAATGGAGTGGCCAGCACAGTCACCGGATCTCAACCATATTGAACTGTTGTGGGAGCAGCTTGACCGTATGGTACGTAAGAAGTGCCCATCAAGGCAATCCAACTTGTGGGAGGTGCTTCAGGAAGCATGGGGTGAAATCTCTTCAGATTCCCTCAGCAAATTGACAGCTAGAATGCCAAAGGTCTGCAAGGCTGTAATTGCTGCAAATGGAGGATTCTTTGACGAAAGCAAAGTTTGAAGGACACAATTATTATTTCTATTAAAAATCATTATTTCTAACCTTCTCAATGACTACATTTCCTATGCATTTTGCTATATTTCCTATTCCTATTCAAACTCATTTCATGTTTCATGGAAAACAAGGAAATTTCTAAGTGACCCCAAACTTTTGAACGGAAGTGTATATACAGTGAGGGAAAAAAATATTTGATCCCCTGCTGATTTTGTACGTTTGCCCACTGACAAAGAAATTATCAGTCTATAATTTTATTGGTATGATTATTTGAACTGTGAGAGACAGAATAACAACAACAAAATCCAGAAAAACGCATGTCAAAAATGTTATAAATTGATTTGCATTTTAATGGGGGAAATAAGTATTTGACCCCCTCTCAATCAGAAAGATTTCTGGCTCCCAGGTGTATTTTATACAGGTAACGAGCTGAGATTAGGAGCACACTCTTAAAGGGAGTGCTCCTAATCTCAGTTTGTTACCTGTATAAAAGACACCTGTCCACAGAAGCAATCAATCAGATTCCAAACTCTCCACCATGGCCAAGACCAAAGAGCTCTCCAAGGATGTCAGGGACAAGATTGTAGACCTACACAAGGCTGGAATGGGCTACAAGACCATCGCCAAGCAGCTTGGTGAGAAGGTGACAACAGTTGGTGCGATTATTCGCAAATGGAAGAAACACAAAATAAACTGTCAATCTCCCTCGGCATGGGGCTCCATGCAAGATCTCACCTCGTGGAGTTGCAATGATCATGAGAACGGTGAGGAATCAGCCCAGAACAACACGGGAGGATCTTGTCAATGATCTCAAGGCAGCTGGGACCATAGTCACCAAGAAAACAATTGGTAACACACTACGCATGACAATGAACCAAAACACACGGCCAAGGCAACAAAGGAGTGGCTCAAGAAGGGGCACATTAAGGTCCTGGAGTGGCCTTGCCAGTCTCCAGACCTTAATCCCATAGAAAATCTGTGGAGGAGCTGAAGGTTCGAGTTTTCAAACGTCAGCCTTGAAACCTTAATGACTTGGAGAAGATCTGCAAAGAGGAGTGGGACAAAATCCCTCCTGAGATGTGTGCAAACCTGGTGGCCAACTACAAGAAACGTCTGACCTCTGTGATTGCCAACAAGGGTTTTGCCACCAAGTACTAAGTCATGTTTTGCAGAGGGGTCAAATACTTATTTCCCTCATTAAAATGCAAATCAATTTATAACATTTTTGACATGCGTTTTTCTGGATTTTTGTTGTTGTTATTCTGTCTCTCACTGTTCAAATAAACCTACCATTTAAATTATAGACTGACAAAATCAGCAGGGGATCAAATACTTTTTTCCCTCACTGTATATATTTTTTGTTATTGTTGCCCGTTTTGCATGTTATTTTGGCATTAATACGTGTCGCATATCAGTTTGCAAACATTGTAATTTTTTTTACAAATAATGAGTTAATAAAGCCGCATACAAACAAGGTCTCTTTTTTGCATTATTTTTTAATTTGTAATAATTTTTAGTCCTTTAAAACAAAACATTTTTACCCCTTTTTCTCCCCAATTTCGAGGTATCCAATTGGTAGTTACAGTCTTGTCCCATCGCTGCAACTCCCGTACGGACTCGGGAGAGGAGAAGGTCGAGAGCCGTGCGTCCTCTGAAACACAACCCAGCCGAGCCTCTTGACACAATGCCCGCTTAACCTGGAAGCCAGCCGCACCAATGTGTCGGAGGTAACACTGTACACCTGGCGACCGTGTCAGCGTGCACTGCACCCGGCTCATTGTGCGCCGCCCCATGGGTCTCCCGGTCGCGGCCAGCTGCGACAGAGCCTGGACTCAAACAAGGATCTCTAGTGGCACAGCTAGCACTGTGATGCAGTGCCTTAGACCACTGTGCCATTCGGGAGGCCCCATCTTTTTTGCTTTCTTGAGTAAGGCAGCTCCAAAATGTTTCAGCCTAGCTCAGTGCTTTCTGTGGTGGTGGGGCAGCCAGCGGAAAATACGGAGTGTAGGGGTTGGTAATGTTCTCTAGTTGCACCATGATTGGCTCAGTGTTCTGTCACTCATGGGGACACTACGTAATTGAAAAATCTACGGGGAGAGCTCGAAAATTCAAGCCCCTTGGGTGCTGCCATAGAGTTACATTAGAAGTGCCCATCCAAGAAAAATCAAGGTCATTGGCCACAGATAAAATGACGTTAAATCACGTTATATCTACTGTAGCTTTGATTGGACTGATCATGTCAACATCATACCTTCAAAATCTTAGCTAGCAAGCTAGCAGTCATCATCATGAATCAAGTCGACAATCTACTGGCAAATCCATTTTCAATCCTTGTCATATGAAGATAATTAATAGATAAAACGTATCGGTGCTCATCGGACATAAACATTACACAACAAGTTGGAAATTGCTAATTCAACAATGAGTGGTTTGGAAGGAATCAGTGGCTAACTGCAAGCTTTGAAAAGCAAGCACTATTCAGTGGAGTGGGTGTGTGGTCCAAGTCTGGGTTTAAGGGTCTCTTTTCCAAGCTTAAAAGGATAAACATTCAACATTGGCCATGCTGTCAATCCAGCATGACTTCTGCCGCATTCAAAACAACTGGAAACTCGGAACTGGGAAATCTCAGACTTCAGTGAGTTCAAGACAACTGGGAACTCGGGAAAAAAAAGAGCTCTAGGAAAATACGTTTTGAACGGTCATCCAACTCGGATTTCCAAGTCAGGAACTCAGGCCTTTTTCTAGAGCTCCGACCTGAAGATCATGATGTCATGATTCGACCTTGTTTTTTTCAGAGTACCCAGTTGTCTTGAAAGCACCATAAATCCAGAGAATGCCAGACTTTGATGGCAAAGCTTGATGACAAAATTTGCACACGAAGGACAGCCGTGCAACCTTCCTGTTCAAGTGAGCACAGCACAACAAGGTGAGTCCAAAAATGTCTGGTATACTGCTGCATAAATGATGTAATATGCCAGGGAGATACAGTGCCTTCGGAAAGTATTCAGACTCCTTATTTATTTTATAAATCCTTAACCCTTCTCTGAAGGTGTAGAAGGCCAATTGTTCCGCACTGTGTTTGGGTTAGTAATAACTTGTAGAGTGGCACTATTTTCCCTCAGCATGCATTTTTTCACTATTCTGAATGTCTAAAGTATCCATATGTTGTTCTGAAATATGAACACAGAAATACTGGACATTTTGAACTCTTATTATGGTGGTTTCGGTCTTGACCCCTCCAGTCTTGGTCTTGACAGACTCTATTTGCTCCGGCCTTGGTCTTGAATCGGTCTCGCCTTAGGTAGTCTTGAACACAACACTGGTTAATGCCTAAACTTAACCTTAAACACTTCAAAATGTGATGTTTGGAACAACATTTAAATCTGATGTTTGAGAAACATGGATGAACGTCTAATTCTGACTTGAGACTGTGAGAGCTTGTTGCAGCAAATAAGCACAATATCATTCTGTGAACTGCAGCCCCCCAAACAATTCATTCTCAAGTTCGAGTTTGTTGAGAAGAGGCTGTGTATGTTTTGGTTCGAAGCTGTGTCATCAATCAATACATTGAATTCATTCTTGCAGCATGTAATCAATTATCAGTTCTAAACATGTATTTTTCTTATCTATGGTCTATTTTCTTGCGAGCATTGGCTATGACAGACAGTTGGTCAGAGCATGTCTCTCAAGCTGCTGAGCTGGAGGAGCTTGAATCAACCCTGCTGTAGACAATTGAACGAGTAAAATGCATGAGTCACTCAGAAAAACTAATCATGATTCTCGACTCGAGTCAGTAAAAAGAGTCGTTAAAAAATAACGAATCGTTCGAGAACTACACATCACTACTGTTGTTCACTGTGCGTCATAAATATCATATCTTTATAACACTGAAAATTACAGAACAATACTGTTTTCATTGCAAATCAGTTGTGTATGTGGTACAATTCCACGTGAACATATTATTTCAATAATCAACCGTTGCACTACTCAGATGAAAGGGAAAACCTATAATATTTTGTTGCACTTCAGAGTTATGAAATCTATCCCAGACACTGAAACTGTAACACTGTGGGCGCCATTTTGGTTCAGGAAACAACTCTGCCGGCGGATGTGCTCTCACATACGAGCCCTTACCACACGCAGTTTCTTTATCTTTCACGGTCATTCGTTGGCGTGTGATACACAGCAATGGCCGCGTCTTTGGTTGTGCAGAGGTTAGCAGGAGTATCGGGGGCGCTCGCTGTCGCTGCCGGGGCATACGGAGCGCATGGTAAGAATCCACATCTGTTTCATTGTGCGCTGCAGATTGCATGATTGTGTAGTTACCGTTAAAAGCAGCCTACTGTTTTGTAAACGCTGTCGCTGCTTCATGTCATTCATTTGGCCATGGGGATGGGATAGTCCTGTCCAGACAGCATGCATAATAACAATATATCTGTGCTTTCCGGCTGCAGTTTACTACTGTAAATGAAACCTAGCCTAATAAAAAATGTGCTCTGTAGGATATGTAGGCTAAACACTTTATGATAAAGTGACACACACAGGCTACAGTACACTGTATTTGTTTAGATTATGATGTGGCCCTACCCTTACTGTTCGGTTGCCCTGACCCTTTACAATATCTCATATTTGTTTTATTCAGGTTTCAAAAACAAAGATCCAGATGATTACTCGAGAGTGGTAAGTGTTACTGTTTTCATATGGTATGAATATAGTATAGGCCCAAATTTGGAGAGTGGGCTGATATTTAATTTGTTGATAAGTTCGTAATTTATGTTATAAATTGCGTCCACTACAAATATGCTAATACACTGTTTTGATTCATTTAATTAATATCTGGGAATGTTATACCACCTCCTTCCTCCTTGTCAATTTATCTCTCAGACAGTGCTGGTCTTTAATGTAATATATTACTCTCTATCGTCCCCAGCTTTATGAGACGGCCAACAAGTACCACTTCTACCACAGCATAGCTCTGCTGGGTGCTTCTCGCTGTAGGAAACCTGCTGTGGTATGTACTGTATGCTTCCCTCCCATCATTATAATAACATCATTAAATAAAACACTATAGTGTTGGAATAGAAAATATATCTCTATGGTTTATTCTAATCCCCCGCCTGCATGTACACTCTGTTTTGTTTGCATTTGCAAACTGTACATATTGGTCTTGACAATAAGCAGAGAAGCACACATTCACTTTCCCTGTCTTCTCTCTGCAGGCGGGCGCCCTCCTGGTATTGGGCACGGGGGCATTCTGTGGGTCCTTGTACCACCAGGCCCTGACGGAGGACCCTGTGCTGAGGAAACTGGCTCCTTATGGGGGCATGTTCCTGATAGCTGGCTGGCTGGCTATAGCTATCTGAACTGACCTTTAACCTCTGACCCTTGAACCTTTGACCCCTACTGGAGCAGGATGACCTTGCTATGGGACACAAACTGACTTTAAGTTCAGAGGCCAGAGAAGTGGAAATGTCATGAGAGGTGGATGGAGGGCTGGATGGAGGGAAGGGGCGTTGATAAAATGTCACTTATCTAAACCCTCCTCTTTTTCTGTCATCGGTGTTAAGAGAAGATAAGGTTGTGAGGGATCACTTTTTATTCTTCCGTCATCACAGGCTGCGACGTACCCTGTGACTTACATTTGTGTGTGCGTGTTTGTGTGTGCGCGCGTTTTGAGTTTGAATGGATCCAAAATAATAGTGTATATTTATCCTTTATCACAAATAAACCTGTTAAAAAAAGTTGATGACCACCTTTTCATCCCTTTCTTCTGAAGAAGCCTTCTGAAACATCTCTCTCTCTCTCCAATTAATGCTTTATTGGCATGAGTGGGTGGTTGCCACTGTTGCCTGTTAGATTCTAAATAAACAAAAACAAAATAGAAAAATATGCACATCCAATTTATCAGGTCAGGGCAGAAGAACGTATCAAAGAAAAAGGGAATGTACACAACTCTGGTATGCTCCCATGGTGATTTAATCAGAAGCACAATAAAGACAAAGTTTCGATCCGAGTTTGATCTTCGTCAGGTCATACATACACCACTGTGAAACACACCTACACTAAATAACCTCCAGAGGCATGTACATCCGGTCAGTTGAATACATACAGTGCATTCGGAAAGTATTCAGACCCCTTGACTTCTTCCACATTTTGTTACGTTACAGCCTTATTCTAAAATGGATTAAATTGTTCAATCTACATACAATACCCCATAATGACAAAGCAAAAACAGGTTTTTAGATTTTTTTGCTAATGTATTAAAAATAAACTACTGTAATTACATTTACATAAGTACATTTTTCCTCAATGAAGTAGCTATCGGCAAAGTCAGTGCTAGTAGGGGGGAAAAGTCGAGAGCGAGTGTTCGTTTTTTGGGGGTGGGGTGCGGGGGCTGTGGGATTATTTAAGGGACTCTTTGAAGAAGTAGGGTTTCAGATGTTTTTGAAAGATGGGCAGGGACTCTGCTATCTTAGCTTCTGGGGGAAGCTGGTTCCACCATTGGGGTGCCAGGATAGAGAAGAGCTTTGACTGGGCTGAGCAAGAGCTGCCCTCCCATAGGGGTGGGAGGGCCAATAGACAAGAGGTGGCAGAACGAAGTACTCGTGCTGGGGTGTAGGGTTTGAGCATCGACTGAAGGTAGGGAGGGGCAGTTCCTCTTGCTGCTCTGTAGGCAAGTACCATGGTCTTGTAGTGGATGCGAGCTTCGACTGGAAGCCAGTGGAATGTGCGGAGGAGCCGGGTGACATGGGAGAACTTGGGGAGGTTGAACACCAGGCGTGCTGCGGCGTTTTGGATAAATTGCGGGAGCCCAGCCAACTTTGAGTTGCAGTAATCCAGATGGGAGATGACAAGTGCCTGGATTAGGACCTGTGCTGCTTCCTGTGTATGGTAGGGTCATACTCTACGGATGTTGTAGAGCATGAACCTGCAGGAGCGAGTCACTGCTTTGATGTTTGCAGAGAACGACAGGGTGTTGTCCAAGGTCACGCCAAGGTTCTTTGCACTTTGGGAAGGAGGCACCGTGGAGTTGTCAACCGTGATGGCAAGGTCTTGGAGCGGGCAGGCCTTCCCCGGAAGGAAGAGCAGCTCCGTTTTGTCGAGGTTGAACTTGAGGTGATAGGCCGACATCCAAGCTGAGATGTCTGCCAGGCACGCAGAGAATTCAGTTAATTGTTCGCTGGTAAGGGGTCCTGTGTTCTCTGGGCATTACTGAATCAAATGAACAAAATTAGTCTAAAGATTTGTTCATTTTACTGAACGAGTTGAAAAGATCAGAGTCAGTAAAAAAAGCCGAACTGCCCATCACTAATATATAATTCCCCAAACCGGGCATTCAGAACACATGCCAATTGATTTTGGGAGAATGTTTGAGCAGAGGATCACAGCAATAGTCATGGCAAAATGCATAACATTGCAGGAAATTTGCTTTAAAACTGCAAGATTGTCTCTCCGCTCAATGCCAAACTGTGTAGAATTGCTGGAAAAATTTGTAGAATTGTAGAAAATGTGCTTTACAACAGCAACATTTTCTCTACACTACCAAGATGCCTTTAGCTACCTTCTAGCTAGCTAATAGACTATGTTAGAGTTTACACTTCCTCTTCCAATGAACTACGGGGAGGTCAAAACAATGTCTACCAAATTCATTTTAGAATGTTGATTACTTCTTTCTACTTGCCATTATCATTCACCTGATAAGACAAGACGTGACTTAGATTTTTTGCTAACATATGGGGGTCCCTGGGTCGCCGGTTTTCCTAGACGGGTCCTTGGGAAAGAAAAGTTTGAAAACCCCTGACCCAGAGCTCAGGCTCTCACAGCATCTCCAACGGTCGAGCCTCCGAGCGGGAGGAGAGAAAAAGGTCTGTGCTATCCTAGGATCCTTTGGACATCCCTACCCCATTGAAGTTGAAATGTAAAATGATTAAGTTAAGGGTTAAGGTTAGGTTAAGGTTAGGGTTAGGGTAAGGGTAGGGGTTAAGGTTTAGGTTTAGGGTAGGAACATCCCAAGGATCCCAGATAGCACTGACCGACAGAAAAGGCAGAGGTCTTCCAATGCCAGTTGAACCAGAAGCAAATCCAACGCCGTCCTCACGGTGGTCGGGGATGCAACAATGGAACTACATTAGTCTGTGCAAGAAAGAGCTAAAAGTAACCTGGGGGTTACATGCACTTCCCACAAAATAAACTTGGTGAACCGACAAGTCCCAACATCTTTAACCTCAAAAGCATGTAGTACGTTAATACATACACAGTATCGTCAATGTGTCATAGCTTTGCATCGTCAATGTGTCATAGCTTTGCATCGTCAATGTGTCATAGCTTGCTTTGACATCAATAAAAGTACATAAAAGTCTCTCTCTCTCTCTCTCTCTCTCTCTCTCTCTCTCTTTGCTCTCTCTCTCACTTTAGCTGGGGCTACGTTCATTCCAACCTACAGTGTATTCGGAAAGTATTCAGACCCCTTCCCTTTTTCCAAATGTTGTTACGTTACAGCCTTATTCTAAAATTGATTAAATAAAACATGTTCCTCATCAATCTACACACAATATCCCATAATGACGAAGCAAAAACAGGTTTTTAGAATTTTTGCACATTTATTAAAAATAAAAACAGAAATTGTTTATTTACATAAGTATTCAGACCCTTTGCTATGAGACGCAAAGTTGAGCTCAGGTGCATCCTGTTTCCATTGATCATCCTTGAGATGTCTCTACACCTTGATTAAATTGATTGTACATTATTTGGAAAGGCACACACCCATCTATATAAGGTCCCACAGTTGACAGTGCATGTCAGCGCAAAAACCAAGCCATGAGGTCAAAGGAATTGTCCGTAGAGCTCCGAGATAGGATTGTGTCGAGGCACAGATCTGGGGAAGGGTACCAAAAAAATGTGCAGCGTTGAATTGTCCCCAAGAACACAGTGGCCTCCATCATTCTTAAATGGAAGAAGTTTGAAACCACCAAGACTATTCCTAAAGCTGGCCGCCCAGCCAAACTGAGCAATCAGGGGAGAAGGGCCTTGGTCAGGGAGGTGACCAAGAACCCGATTGTCACTCTGAGAGAGCTCCAGAGTTCCTCTGTGGAGATGGGAGATCCTTCCAGAAGGACAACCATCTCTGCAGCACTCCACCAATCTGGCCTTTATGGTAGAGTGGCCAGACATAAGCCACTCCTCAGTAAAAGGCACATGACAGCCCACTTGGAGTTTGCTAAAGGACTCTCAGACCATGAGAAACAAGATTCTCTGGTCTGATGAAACCAAGATTGAACTCTTTGGCCTGAATGCCAAGCGTCACGTCTGGAGGAAACCTGGCACCATCCCTACGGTGAAGCATGGTGGTGGCAATATCATGCTGTAGGGATGTTTTTCAGCGGCAGGGACTGGGAGACTAGTCAGGATCGAGGGAAATTTTAACAGAGCAAAGTACAGAGAGATCCTTGATAAAAACCTGCTCCAGAGCACTCAGGATCTCAGACTGGGGCGAAGGTTCACCTTCCAACAGGACAATGACCCTAAACACACAGCCAAGACAATACAGGAGTGGCTTTGGGGCAAGTCTCTTAATGTCCTTGAGTGGCCCAGCCAGAGCCCGGACTTGAACCTGATCGAACTTCTCTGGAGAGACCTGAAAATAGCTTTACAGCGACGCTCCCCATCCAAACTGACAGAGCTTGAGAGGATCTGCAAAGAAGAATGGAAGAAACTCCCCAAATACAGGTGCCAAGCTTGTAGCGTCATCCCCAAGAAGACTCGAGGCTGTAATCGCTGCCAAAGGTGCTTCAACTAACCCTAACCCTAAATTTGGCAAAAAAATTGAAAAATCTGTTTTTGCTTTGTCATTATGGGGTATTATGTGTAGATTGAGGAGTAAAAAATACAATTTAATCAATTTTAGAATAAGGCTGTAACATAACAAAATGTGGAAAAAGTCTAGAGGTCTGAATACTTTCCGAATGCACTGTATCTGTGTTCAAATTGAAATGTGAAAGCGCTAATTCCTTCCGGTTTCCTGACTCTAGGCTTTGTGTGTGTGTGTGTGTGTGTGTGTTTGTGTGCCTAGGCCGTCTGCGCAGGGACCAATAAAATGTGCTTACAATCTCCAAGTAAATTTGCAGGGGCGGCTCGAGCCTGTAAGCCAGCCGACTGACTCTGACTCCATTGAAATCAGAAGAAATCCTATTGACTAAAGCATGTCCCAATTAACTCTGATCACAACTCATAGAACGCTCATTAGAAGGCCTATTAATGGGCATTGGGCAAGTCGGGGTCAGGCTATGAGACTGTGATTTGTTATCTCTGGAATGGAAACATGGCGGATACATGAGTTGCTGAATTTGGGCTCCTGAGACTATAT